CAAAGTGGCCTGGCTCTAAGTCTCCAGCAGGGAATGTGCATCTGTAACACAGTGACTGAGCAGGGAGAGGAGCCTCACTGCATTCACTGTTTTCCTGATCAAAAGGTTTACCTGCATTTTACTGATTTGTTATGTGTATGTACATCCTTACAAAGACAAAATACATGTTTAATATGTTACCTATATACATGTACAGATGTATTTCATTACACTACTATACCAGTCACACAAATGTTCTGCTTCACGTTCGTGTGTGCGAGGGAGCGCACGCAGGTACAGGAGAACAGCTTTAGGTGAACAGAAGCTATCAAAAACTAAAGTCTACCTGTGAAGCAGACATGAGGTGCCCACTGCGCTCCGCTGCGCTGTCAAGCCTTCCTTTCTCACCCTATCACCCCCAATCCAATCGCGCTCCTTAAAAACAGGAAGTCTAAGCTCTGTTTAGAGAAAACGAAAAATAGGCCCTAACTGTTAGATTCACATTTGGGGCTCGGAGACTGAGTCTAAACAAACATTTCATGTCAGAAGACTAGAATTTTTAGGTCTTTAACCAGTCTTCCCCTCCATTCATCCTTACTTTTCAGAGACTGTTCAAACTACATCAAAACATAATTTTAATCATAAAAATATCAGGTGGGAATCCTAGAACCTGTTTGGCTGCCTTAACCCCCCCGCCAAAAAAAACATTTATTTTAGCCAAACAATTGTAATGTTTGTCTCCTTTTAGAAACATCTGCTGCCAAAATAAACATTTGCATTGGAAGAAGTGTTTTGGCTGTTAAGATGGCACCAAATAAAATGCTTATGTTCTAAAATAAATATTTTACATGAAATACACACAGTAAAACAGACACATTCAAAGAGTGTAGAAGATAAAGACACAAATTAAAATACCTATTGACTTTTAAAGTTTTTTCCAAAGAAGCTAATTTTTAATTCTATTTTATTTAGACTGAAAGTGCTAAGTTCAGATGTTACCTGAACAAAAATAACGAATTTGTATTTAATTTTACCATGTTATCTTTCAAAACAACGACTATATTCCATGCTCTTGTAGTTGTAAAGGTCTTCACAATACAGATGTGTTTTTAAAAACTAAAAACGTCATCATTTCCCATTATAACAACACTCATAAACTTAAATCTCTCACCTTGCCCTCAGTTCCCTTTCCCTGGTTTTGTAACGATAACAGGCATCAGATTATACAAACATGTGCAGCAAGGTAAGGACAGTTAAAAGATCGACCCAATAACCCTTGATAACTCAAGAAAAACCTCAGACTACACAATCTGTCTGACACACAAAAATATACCTTTGTTTCTGTAGCCTATTTCTCCTGGGTGTTGTTTCGTTTACATGAAAAATCTTTTTTAAAGTGAGCGCACAGGCTGATGTATACATTTACGGTCACAAAGGACAAGAAAAATGAAACAAACATTTGTTCACCCACATCCCTGATCCAGGAAAGGATAGCTCGCGGTCTACGTTTTTTAAAATAACGGAAAAACTCAGAAAGAGTCAGAATCTAGTACCTTTAAAGATTATGTATCCTCTGTGTAGTTCTGTATGAGATGAAATCAACCAACCGGTATGCTTCTTTCTGTTAACCATCCCCAGGTTTGAATTCCAGGAGCCTGGAGGCAGAACATTCTCCACAGAGGCATAGAAAATTCATTTCCCCTCTCAGCTCAATAGAAAACCCAAGTAGGCGAGTTTTTTGGACACCGTGCAAAACTAATCTGTTTAGCCATGTATTTGCCTGATGATGTGGGAGAATCAGCAAGTAAAAGACCACAAATCTAGTTCCAGTTAATAAATACCACAATGATGCACTATTATCACATCATGCTTCAAAGACCCAGTCATGCGTTTGTTTCAAAAATAAAATTATCACCATACAAATCAAGAATCGCCAGGTTAATACTAAAATCAAACACTGAGTGGCCAGCTCCTCCTGATTCTCAGAGACAAAAAGCAGGCAGTGATACTGTCCATGTTAAATTTCCTATAAGCCCTGCAGTTCTTTCTAACAGAACACTCATTTAAATTCCTGTCACAAGAGTGGAATGCCAGCCAGGAATCAAACTGTGACCCCCGAGCCAAAGACAACTTACCACTCAGCTGGTAAGTGGGCCACTCAATTTACAAACTTGAATTCCTGCATTTTAATCCTTTGCAGAAATATATGAGCAATATTAAATGAACTGGATGCAGCTCATTAGAGGTTCACAAACCAAACATAGAAAGCTTTGGAGGCCGTCCAAAGCAAAGTCATGCCTAGGTGGTGATGTCCACCAGTAAAAACTCAGAGTCATCATTATCTTTCAACTTTTTTCCTGGAGAACATTAGCAACCACGACTACAAAGCCCAGACAATTACATCAATACCAGAAGATAAATAGGGCCAGCAGCCAATCGCTATGCCAGGACCTTGAGCGCAAGTTTATAATTACCCAAAATTCACAAGCAAAGCAATTCACCAAAAATTCCTCACCAAAGAGCACAGGCTAAAGCCAACAAAATAAATGTGTTCTAATAACCAAAACCTTCACTTTTTTTCCATTTCAAAGCCTATACCTAACTGATCACATGAACTTGCTATGATAAAAGCTGTGTGACCCTTTGAAATGTTACACATTCAAAACTGCATTCACAGTTATGGCTAGCCTTTTAGATTTAAAAAAAAAAAAAAAGTATACTTCAAGGCTGTACTATAACTAATGAAAAGGTAAAAAGCAGTAAAGGCTTTTTAGAACCTTTGATTATGACGAACTCAACAAGGAAGTTTGACATTTTCCCCCCAGGGGATTCAGTTTCTCACCAGATATGCTGCTTCACTTCCACTATCAGAAAGATCTGTGTTTAGAATCAGGCACTTCTTTTGGTTAGCAGTAAGATACCTAACCTAAAACCTTAATTAAAAATTTGCTGAAATACTTAGTAGGTAATCATCAATTTGTCCCTTCAAATAAATGCAATACTTACTGGATTTCACAAGTAAGTAAGAGCCACAGGGATTATATAAAACCAAAATGCTGAGAACAGTGAGGCTACTCTATGTATCTGTAATGCATCCTCTACTTTGAGCCTCACACATGTGGGGGAGAGAATAATAAAAACAAATTCCCAGGCAATCATTCTTCACACACCTTCGCCAGTTGTTCCTCCAACCTGGTACTGCAAACCAAGACAAGATCAGAAACTTCTAGGAAGACTTGAACCCATTCAGAGAAAGAGATAAAGGAGCATCCGGCCACTTGCCAGGAATAGCACCTTTTGAAATGACTTTCCAATTTCACATCAGGAAAACAGACTGGCGAGGACAGTGCAGAAATAAAAAGAGGGGCATCTACTTCTCTCCATCAGTCCTGATATTTCGTTTTCTTTTTTTAAGGTCCTGCTATTTCTTACTACCTTTCTGCCTCTGCTCTCTTCCTGCGGCCAGACTATGACAAGGAATGATCAGCCCCCAAATGAAATCCAGGGGGCAGTTAGGGCTTTAGCAACTAGTCTCTGGGCCTTCTACCCTCAAAGAAAGGCAAATTAGCTTTACTAAAGAGAGAGAGCCACAACTCTCACCTCACTTCGCAATCCTTTACAAACTATCTCCCTCTCACAATTAGCAGTCCCAATTAAAGATTTTTACTCTAGATAGTAAAATATTGCTGGAAGAAAGGACTAATGTTGGAAAAAAACTAAGAGTACAATTAAGTATGCAACTGACTGCTAGACTTCTGAAAGGCCGATCTTTAATAAACGGGTGAGAACTTCTGACAATAACAAAGGCCGGGTAAGGAACCAAGAGCAAGGATTCCAAGGCAAAGCTACTTCTGTCTTTCCCTACAAAAGGCCTGAAAATAAAAACATCACAGAAAAAGTGAAGAGGAAAGACAATACTCAGTCTCTAAAAAAAGGCTCAGATGCAACTTATCCATGAACTTCCAGCACACAGCTATTAAAGTATGATGTATCATTCTCAGATCCACTTTAAAGAGAACAAAACGTTTTATGCCAGACAATGTTTTATTTCCACAAAGGATATTTGGTCAAGCATAAGGAAGAACTTCCTGAGAGAACGGCTGTGAAACCCTGGAGTGGGTTACGGCAACCCTATGGAAACACCTCTGGGGAGGCAGTCAGCTGTCTGGGGCATCAGCCCAAAGCACCCCTGGGAATAAAGGGATGGGGTAGTGTTCCTAGTAACTAACTACCCTGACCAGTCAGAATCTGATTTACCCTCTCCAAATTTCATGCTCCCTGAGGCTGACAACAAGAAGACTCCCCAGCGTCGAAGAAACTGGAGGTTTACTACTGCTAGAAGGTGGATGGTCATGTAAGGTAACTCCAACGGGTTGATTCTAGATACAAATACTTGGTTTGAAGAACAGGAAGTCTTTTTTGTTTGTTTGAAGTAAAAAACAGAAAATCCATGAAAATCTAAGAGAACAGATACACATCAAATCCTCTTATATGAAATACAAAACCTGTTTCAAAAGGTACAGAGGAAATAATATGTTAAGAAATAAAAGCAAAAGAACTTTTTGGGAGACTAAAAAAAAAAAGTTTTAAGCTGATGCTATCTTCATGAGAAAGACCTTTAAATAACTTAAAACTTCGCCTTAGGAAGTCTATTCACAGCTCAAAATCTGACACAGTCTGACACAAGAAATGCTGGAAAGCCAAGTGCACTTTGGGACTACACTCTATATAATTTGCTGCAAAATGATGACAGGGTACATCTTCAAATACGGCTGGTAACACCGGCCTTCTACCAAACAGGTTTTCTGTCCACTTTGTTCTAAACTCACTTTTCCTTCTTTAAAAGAAAAGGGGGAAAATTGTACCTGGGATTATTTGAAAAAACTATGAAAATTAAAAAAGAGCAGAAAATCAGTGACATACCCCCTAATTCTCTCAATACCAATCTTAGGTGGACAGACGACAAGACAGAACTATCACCAATGAAGGAAGGGTGGGGAGAAGTAACAACTGACACAAACCTGCTGCTGTGGGTACTGCATTCCTCCCATGGCCCCTGGGGTCCGACCTTGGATGCCGATAGGATACCGCTGTGGGCCTGGGGGGCCGTAGGAACCTCCAGGGTAAGGGCTGCTCTGCTGAGGCTGTGAATGAGGGTTACTGCCCATCCCATACAACTGAGGTCTCTTCATCACCATGGGATCCATTGGGCTGCCCTGTGAAGGGATAAATGAAGAAGTGAGCTTATTAGGTCATTATTTACTACAAAGGCAGACAGTTTATGATGCTGACACATACATTAAAAACACAACTATCCCGGGCGTGGCTCAGTGGTTGAGCGTTGACCTAGGATTCAGGTGATCAGGGTTCGATCCCCAGTCAGGGGCCTGCAGGAGACAGCTGATCAATGACTCTCTCATCATTGATGCTTCTATCTCTCTCTCCCTCTCCTTTCCTCTCTCTGAAATCAATAAAGATATATTTTTTAAAAACAAAAAACACAATTATCCTTTAGAAAATATTAAAAACAATGATCTGACAAATAAAACCCCAGAAAAACATTAAAAATATACTGACATGGACACAGACATTTTATTTTTTTGCTTTTAGGAAGGTTTTAACAATTAAGAGAAACAAGGAGTAAACAAAATAAGGAAAAATTGTGCATCCTAAGCAGAGAAAACACTGGCATCTAAAATTCTGTTATGCACATAGAAATGAGCATGACAGTAAGTCTCACCCAGCTCCTCTTAGCTTACTAGTAACAAAGGCAAAGTACACCGAGTGGCTGGGAGCACTTTCTGACTTCAAAGTATTCTTGGAACTACTTTATTTTAGACCCAAGTCTGCAAGTCTTTCTCAAATATTAATGCACCTGAGTGCTCACTGGAAGTGAAAGGATAGATTTTAAATAATACAGAATGTCTAGGGTAAAAGTTTTCAAACACCATCAATGCGCATGAACAAGCACCCAGAATGTGAGTCACAAGCCACCTTCCTATGTAAGTCAGCATCTTACCAAACATAACCAGTTCAAAACTAGACTCTGAGTTTTATTTTTGGTTTAGTGAGTCAGCCAAGGGCCTCAGGGCCAAGGCCATCTGGGAGAGCCAGGACTGGAGCCTCAGCCTGGACTTTCAAGGCCCTAGGTGCTTCACAGGAGCAAGGCAGGGGTGAGGAAGTCCCTCCAGCAATGCTACAAAGGCCTGCAAGCATTCACCCAACAGGTGGGTAGGTCTTTCCTTCCAAAATCATATAATGATCCCTACTGCGTGCCAAACTCTATGTTCACACTGAGTCCATGGAAACTCTCAGGAAGGTTTGAGGATTCACAGGATAAGTAGGAGACTAGGTTCAAGGTTGGGAGGGGCAGGGCAGAGTGTAGAATACCACAAAGCACAAGAAATAGCATAAAGCACCGGCTCAGGGAGAGAAGCTGCCTGGTGTGTATGAGGGAACACAGCAGTTTAGATCCAAATGAAACAGGAACTTTCAGAGAAGAAGCTGAAGCAGGCAGAAGTTAGTACATACAAGGTGAGCCTTATATGTCATTTTAAAGGCTTCAGATTGTACCCGGGGGATTAACAGAGAGCTACATTCAGATCTGCCTCTCAGAAGGCTGATCTCTCGGGCATGGCTGGAGCCAGGGTGGGTAGCCACAGCAGGCGGTTGAGCTGAGGTCCTGAACTGGTAGCAGAGGTGGAAGAAACAAGCCCAGACTCAAGTAACAGGACGGAAGTGCAGCACAACTTGGAGACTGAGTGGTGGGAGACAGCAGTCAAGGGTGGCTTCAAAGATGAGACACCGTCTGAGACAGACATGCAGGGGCAGAAGAGATCCACACTCCCCTGGGAAGTGGGAGCCTTCAGTATTCTACATCCTAAATTTGAGGTTCCTACAGGAAATCCAGGTGAAAATATCCAGAAGGAAGAGGCACAATGAGTTTCCATCTTGGTGGTCTGATCTAGAACAACAACTAAGGGAGTCAGCATACAGAGGACACATGTTCCTGGAAGGCAGCGGTCTTTTTGTTTTACTCACTATTATTTCTCGGGGGATAAGTCAGATAGTGCACTTGGCACATAGTAAATGCTCAATGAACACTGGATGAATTAATCAACAGGAAACATGTGAAACTTAAGACCTGTATCCAGAAAGAATATATAAAAATACAAAAATGGGTGGAAGACAAAATTCTAGAAAATATCACCATTTAAGGGAGAAGGGAAAAAAGAGGCCCACAGAGACCAAAAGACTGTCAGAAAATACAGTTAGACATCTAGAGAGTGTGGTGTTACGCAAGAGAAGGGAGTCATGTGTAGCAACAGAACAGGCAGGCCAAAGGCAGCCCAGGTGTCCACAGGTGAGGGCTAACTAAAGGCTTTTGCTGTAACTGGATGACTAGGAGGTCACTGCTGACCTTGGCACGGCAGTCTCATCACAGAGGTGAGGGTAGAAGCTGAAGGACTAGGACCTGGGGCATGAACGGGAGGTGGGAGAGGAGAGCCAAGGCTGTACACCCAAAACCCAAGTGAAGGAAGCTAAAGAGCTGCCAGGCCTGCCTCCCATTACCCCTCCCCGAGACTGCATCTCTGCCTTCTTCCTTCTTATGGTTGCCCTTGTGCCCATTCTAATGATTAACCCACTCACCACACATTAACTGAGGATCTACTGTGTGCACTGTGTAGAGCACTGGAGGCGTAAGAATGAGTGTCAGCGGCTGTCCTGGAGAAGCGAACAATTCACTGAAGGAGAGGCACTGAACAAAGATTACCAAGCCACGCGGGACACATCCTAACTGGACACAGGAGGCCCGGGGCAGGAGCATCTCGGCGTGTCTGCCACGGGTTTTAACAGGCCTTCCTACACAGAACACCGGAGCTCAGTCCTGAGGGATCCATGGGAGTTTACCAGGAACTCATCTACCTGAATGAAAGTACATGTAGGCCCAATACTTCTGCTCAAAATTCACAAGTTCATGGAATTCTATCTGTGTTACTTTTACCAGTGAAGAAAAACTGTGTACATAACAATGACAGAAATTACTCAAACAACATACTGATGTTATACATGTGCTGTCTTCACAATTCAACATACAAACATACGTGTTGTTAGGTATAGTGTAATAAAACTAAAACCGAGGACTAAGAATTAAGTTTTCCCAGAATGATTTGAATTAGACTTTATGCCTAAGAAAGCAAAATGTAATTATTTTTCACACTTTGTTGCGAAAGGTAAAATAAAACTTTCTATGGAAGTGTGAAAATCAAGGCTGAGCTGGTGATTTCAGAATCTCAGTGAATGAACAGCCTACAGAGAGACTAAGTCAATCTGATTTAAGGCTAAATTTCCAATACGGGCCGGGCCCTGAGGCAGCCCGATCTTCACATTCAATCTGGATTAGCCATAGTACTGGGAGGGTCTGCTTATTTCACTTTAAATAGTGCACAACCAAAACCAGTGTAATTAAGGCAGAAATTTAAAATGGGAAAATGACTGGAATGTCTACATTTTAATGCTATAGATAACAGTGCAGCAAATTCATCTTATCAGTGACTGAAATTGTTTTGTAGTATCGGTTTCATCACTGCCATAAACTCACAGTCCTACTTAAAATTCAGTTAATTTGCACCCATGTCAAAAATGTAAGCTTAGCCCAGAGATTTCTGAAAATCAAAAGCGTGAAATACACAGATTATCTGCACCTCTCAAAATGCATCCAACACCTTTCAGTGAGACTTCAGATATGAAAACAGATACTCAAACAGTGCAAATTATTTAATTTTAACGTTCTCTCCTTTGGCCTATTATTAAATATTCACCCACAGTCGAAATCCATCCCACTGTGTCCTCTTGCTGTTTCTAACATTAAATATGTACTACTGCCGGATCTCCACCCCTGCCTTTTACAATTATCGCCAAAAGAAACCAAACACCAAACCAAATCTAAGACTTCCAAAAATCATAAAGAGCAAGTCACTTCTCACATTCACACCCAACCCAAAACAATTTCCTATTTTCCATCATCTACCCTCCTGTTAATATACTGCAGAGTATGTCCATTTTCATTTCTCATGTACACTTTACACTGTATCAGAGAGATCATCCACACCAAGAATAGTCCCCAAGTACTGCTCTCAATATATTATTCCAAACATGCCTTCCTTTCTAGATACCACTGCACAACTGCTGTGGTCTAAGCTTCAATTACATAAAATAGAACAAGTACTTCAAAGGCCACCATATGAACCACCCATTTTCAATGAGAGCTTAATATAACTACAGGTTATACATATCTCATACCCACACACACATATATATGAGTTACACACCTCTCACACTCACATATGTATGATTTATACATCTCACTCACGCACATGTATGTGTTATAGGTCATACATCTCACACACACACACACACACACACACACACACCCATTCCTGGGTCTCCCTAGGACTATTAGATAAGGAGTACAGTGTAGATTCTTAAAATATGGGCTGGAATACAGGTTCTTAACACATTAAGTAGCACAGTTAGGCTGTATTCTCGGTTTAGGCTAGCCTGGGAGTCTAACTACCCTTTTAAAGACTATCCAAGTTAAAAGAACAACTCACTTTTAGTAAACTTTAACTAAACGTGATGCTTTTTACACTTAGATACTCCTTCATTCCCACCTTTCAGAGTATGCCTACATGTTTTTATAATAAAGACATCTATGTAATTGTATTTACTCCAAAATATCAAGTGAAGGAGTTAGTTGACTAGTAGTTTCATTATGCATATACTATCTGACAATTTTTTCAGCCCAATTCCATAGACCATCCACTGAAGAAGGCATACAAAAGCCCACAGAAGAACCATGCCATCTTTGTGACCTACAGTCATATCTACCTGTCTGGATTAAGCAAGAAACTTTCCCCTTTTGAGTCATTATTTGGGAAAACGGTCTATCTTAGCACTAACTAAGCAAAACTCTTGGGAGTAATATTCCACCACCTATAAAACAACAAAAATGATAAAACCCAGTGGGAGTAAATGAGTATTTGGATAGGTAAACCTTTTTCTGAAGGATAATAGTCAATAAGCTTTAAACAAAAGCTTTAAGAATTATACCTGTTCCAACTCTAATACTCTCCCAAGTGGGGCAAGAGTGAGATTTGTCCCACAGAGTGAAAACTGTCCACAGCTACATGAATTCTAATTCTGAAAGGAGACC